CAGTGAGAAAATTTGAAACCTTTTATGAGTTTTGCACTGAGGACGAAAACGTTTTGGTTCCGTGTGATGCTATTTTGTTTTCAGTGTATGATGCATGTTGCCCAAATTCCATCGGATATTGAACAATAAAATCATCAGCAAAAATTGATATTGTCGTAATTCCTGAAGAATTTCGACAAATTCGGAAACTCGACAATTTTGTCCAATTTCCGGTGCAATTCGACATTTGTCGAAATTCTAGTGGAGATTGAACTTTGTCGAAATTCCGATGTCGAAATTCTAGTTGCCCAAGTTCCAGTTTCCCGAATCATTTGTATAAATTACACATAATATTTCACTATACTTTATTTAAGCGAGAATTATTCCTCATTCCAATATATATTTCTATTGCTCCATTATAATTATAAGTCAAAAATATTCTAGAAGTAAAAAATGCTCTATTGAAGAGAAAACGAAAAAGATTCTAGTAAAATATATTTCTTGATCATAGGAAATAGGAGTGTGACATTTAAATTTATAATAAATAAAAATTTTTTTAAATGAAAAGTTAAATTTAACTAAATTTTGAAAACTAGTAGATAAACATAGTTCTTGACTTGATTGCTACTATTTAAAGTCAAATATTTGATAAAGTTAAAGCTATAATCATTCTTCTACGAATTTTTTTATTAAATATATTTTTATGAGCATCTCGATGTTCTTGAAGAAGAAAGGTGACGGATCCTGCGTAATCTGTAGAGGAATTTTTTGACTATTATGAACAAATATTAACCTAAAATACTAGGTTTTCCTCTCATTTAGTATTTACTACTGTTAAAGTCACATATTTTCCTTGTAGCAATGACGAGTATCCACCCAAACAATTAATTTAATTTTAAATTAAATTAACTTTTCACGAAGTTAAATTTAAATAAAATAAACTGTAAATTAACACCCTCAAGATAGGAAAATAATACAACGTACGCATAATAAGCTCATATAAGAAATTAATCGTTATAACTATCATATATGTTCATAGAAAATATAGACTTGCATGTCTCAAAAATACAAAGCAAAAAGATAAATGTCTATATAGAACTATTTTGATGCAAAAATAATCTCATTTTAAACATAACAAGAGCATTAGAGAGAACTATATTATTTCTATAGAATAATCTTTCAGTATATACGTAGAAAAAAACTTATTCTGAGGAATTTCTAGAAATAGAAAGAATAATCTATTCAAGGAATTTTACCTCGATACTTTCGAAATTATTTCCTATACTAACGGGTGGACCAAAAAGAATTGCCCTGTTCGTATTTTTGAATTTTCTCGTCTTTCTTGAACACGATCGGCGTGTCGTTTTTACCAAACGATTCCTCGTTCAATTCTCTACGAAAAATGTATTGGCTGCTTTACTTCAAAATCCAAAGATACAAAATGCGATAAAAAATTGCGAGAAGTACCAAAATGTGGAAAAAATAAACGTGGATACATTGAACAGCAGATTTTCCGGGTATTATCTACTCAAAGTTTGTAAGAAAAAAAGTTATAGTAGCCACTTTGTACTCCTTAAAAAGCTCTATTGTTTACCAATGATTAAAAAATTTTGCAGTTAAAATTGAGGACGTAAGAATTTTATTGTTTTTTGTCAATTTTTCAAAAAACGACGACTTTTTCATCAATAAAGTAAGCCTACCTATAAAACAAATGAAGCTTAGTCAAAGTGGATTTATTCGAGCACATTTTTTTAAATTTATATTGAAAACCAATGTTCTATCGTTATTTTTGGATATCTAAGATTTGAAAAAAATATTATTGTGTTCAGTCGCGCAAAAACAGATACAAATTGTTGTTATTTTTCACTTGATTGTAGTGAAACTAATGTTTGTGACAGATATTTAGATTAAAATGGCTTTTACTCTACAAGACGAGATAGAGCGCATTTGAAACTACATAAAATATACTGAAACNATATACTGAAACAGTCTTATGATGCTGGTGAAAGCATTCGAAAAAATATAGCTCGATGCGAGAAAATATCTGAAACATAAAATTATTTTTTCGTACATTTTGGTACTTCTCACAATTACCTATCGCATTTTGTATCTTTGTATTTGAAATAAAACAGCCAATACATTGTTTGTAAAGAATTGAACAGGGAATCGTTTGGTAAAAACGACACGCCGGTCGTGTTCAAGAAAGACGAGAAAATTCAAAAATACTAACAGAGCAATTCTTTTTGGCCCACCCGTTAGCTGGTAATCTCAACTTTGGTAGAAGATAAAAATGTCGAAAGTAAAAATGTCAAAGTATAAAAATGTCGATAGCTAATATGTCGAAAAGTAAATATATATATGGAATGAACAATAAAGAAAAATCGCTTGTGACATTTTTTTGAGGATATAAAACACTAAGTATTTAAGCTATGTGTATTCAATAAAAAAAGAAGAATCGGAAAAAAATAAAGTGTTCGATAAGTTAATTGACCAATATTAATAGAATTTCTCTTTCGCAAAAATCATTTTCTCTAGCCACGATGAAAGAGAGACCAAGAAGAAGATCAGACGCATTAATTAAACGTTTATGCAATGTGTCGATTCGTTTTTGTAATGCTACACTACGTTTATTTTTTATTAAACTTATACATGTAATCATTCACTACCATGATAACAGTTGACCTTTGTTTGAGGTGATGAAGTGGATATTTTGGGTGTTGCGGCTTGATGATGTGTTAACTGACGTCATCCTTGTAAATGTATGCAACGGTATAGTATACTGTAAACTAGAAAATACATTATAGAGTATAATGAAAGATATTCTAGAAAAGTCCATACGAATTCAATGACAAATTTCTACTTTCTTGAAAATACGATATTCAATAAGATAGAAATAAGAGATTAGATTTTCTAGCTAGAAAATCGAATGTGAATTCGTATGGGCTTTTCTAGAAACTGGAAATTCAATTTTCATTTTCAATTTCAATTTCAAATGTATAGAGAATATAATAAGATTTTATCCTCAAGACAAACAACTAGTTATTGTCTTCAGCAATCTGATCTATGATTCGAAACTGATGATAGATAAAAATTAATGATATAAACTAAAATTTTCTATGAAAAAAAAGTCTAAATGTGTAAATATTTTGATCAGGAGAAAATGACTTGAAATACGATACTCAATGTTAAATGCAATATAGTATAATATCAGACTTCATGTATAATTCCACACCCAATAAATGATTATAAATATCTATTTTGTGGTTAGAAAAGTTTTTATTTGCAATATTCTTTTCGTGAATAAGAAATAAATCGATATATATGATGTGTTTGTTAATGTAAAATGGACTGACTCATGTGGATTCGAAACAAAAAGGTATAGTTGATCTGCTCGCTAGAGCTAGCAGAGAAAATAATGAATACACTCATGATGTTTTAATTTTTGTAGAATTTATCTTGATTTTTCTATAAGGTTGCAATTGAATTTCTATAATTTAGAAAATCAAGCATTTTCTGAATATATAAAATTCGACGAATGCTTTAGTTTATTTAAAGTCGATTTTCTAAAAAGTAGAATTTCAAAACAATTTACAGTGTATACTGACTAAATTTATACTAGTTCTTATTGAATAGTCCTATCTAATTTACCGTAACGGACGGAATTAATATAGTCTACCAATAATGGAATATAACTGAATATCACTCGACTAAAAGTGGCGTTCCAATGGCATCGTTATGAAAAATAGATGGATATCATAAATTCCATTAGACTTACTCTTCAACTATGGAATCAGTAGACATTTGTATATTTCGACCAAAGTTGGGAGAATCATACTAGCTATACTCTAGAGAGAAGAGATCTCCTTTTATTCTTATACGTTTTCTCTTCTAGTCAATATTCCTGCTAATGTCACAGAATAATTTATATAGAGTTTAATAAAAGATATTCTAGAACATAGAAATCAGAAATATGCGATTTTTCTAAATAGGAAATGCTCTACTTAAGAGAAAACGAAAAAGATTCTAGCGAAAATATATTTTGATCATAGGAAAAATATCAGAAATAAATCGTTGTATATCATATATGTTCATAGAAAATACAGACTCGCATGTCTCAAAAATACAAAGCAAAAAGATAAATGTCTATATAGAACTATTTTGATGCAAAAATAATCTCATTTTAAACATAACAAGACACTGATATAATTGCAAAAAAAAGATCATTAGAGAGAACGATATGCTATATCCTTTCTATAGAATAATCTTCTAGTATAGAAAAAACTTATTCTGAGGAATTTCTAGAAAAAGAATGATCTATTCAAAGAATTTTGCTCGATGCTTTCGAAATTATTTTATATACAAGCTATACTCGAGAAAGAGAGAGATTTCCTTTTATTCTTACGTTTTCTCTTCTAGTTAATATTCCTACTAATGCTACATGGAAGCAGAGCGGAGTGACTATTGCTGGAGGTAACGGGAATGGGAGTGCCACTAATCAACTCCACTGGCCTTATGGTCTCTTCGTTGATGATGATCAAACAGTGGTTATTGCTGACTGGCTGAATTATCGTATCATGCAATGGAAGAACGGTGATACAACGAATGGACAAGTTGTTGCTGGTGTTAAAGGCCAAGGATATGGATTACAGCAATTACAATATCCAACTGACGTATTAATTGACAAAGAGACGGATAGTCTCATTATTTGTGATCAAGGGAATAAACGAGTTGTACGATGGTCTCATCGTAGTGGTACAACACAAGGTGAAATACTCATCGACAACATCTCCTGTTGGGGATTAGCAATGGATGAACAGAGATATCTCTACGTTTCTGACGACAAAAAACATGAAGTAAGACGATATCAATTGGGTGAGAAGAATGGTACTCTCGTGGCTGGTGGTAATGGTAAAGGTGATGGACTCAATCAACTCAACAGGCCGACATATCTCTTTGTCGATCGACAACAGACTATCTACGTATCAGACTACTGGAATCATCGTATAATGAAATGGAATAAAGGTGCAAAAGAAGGTATTGTGGTCGCTGGAGGACAAGGCGCAGGGAGTGCTCTGACACAATTAGCTTATCCTCAAGGAATCTTCGTTGATACGTTGGGTACACTCTATGTAGCAGACTCGGGGAATCAGTGTGTAAGGCGTTGGACTCAAGGAGACAAGAAACAAGGCACTGTAATTGTGGGTGGCAATGGTCGAGGAGAAGAAGCAAATCAGTTCAAAGGCCCCAGCGGTTTGTCTTTCGATCGACAAGGTAATCTCTATGTCGTCGATGAGCGTAATGATCGTGTTCAACGATTTTCTATCGAATAAGACTTGTGAACTGTTTTTTCTTTGTTCGTTTCTCTTTCTATACTTTGAAATAAATGAATAAAAAAAAAGAAATTTTCTTTTACTCTTTCGCTTCAAAGAAAAGAAAAACGCTAAAATATAAAATTACCTCATACGTTTCTTTTCTGTTTCTTTTATTTATTTATTTGTTAAATGAAAATAAATGAATTAAATAAAAATTATTATTCGCAAAAAATATTAATGATTAAAGCGAAAAAAATTAATTGTGCCGTTTTGAAAATATTTATTATTTAAACGAAAAAATAAAATTTTGTATTATTTTCATAAAAATATTTATTAGTAAAATTAATTAATTTATTAGGGAATGAAAATAAAATTTGTATTATTTAAATGAAAATTTGTATTATTTGAATGAAAATAAATTTTGTGTTATTTGAATGAAAATTTGTATGTTATTGAAAATATTCATTGATGAAATAAAATAATTTATAAGTAAAGTGAAAATATAATTTGTTTTATTTTCACAAAATATTTATTGTTGAAGTGAAAATATGTATGACTGAAGTGAAAAAAAAAGATTTGAGTTATTTGAATAAAGTTTATTTTAAAAATCAAAAAAATACAAAGTTACAAAAAAATTTACACAACAAGAATGGAAAATAATTATACTTACATTTGAATTGAATTGAATTGAAAAGTTGAATGGAACTAAAACGAAACAAGCAGAAATGAATTTGATTGGAATGAAAAATTATTTTTCTTTTGCTTACGAGCTAATAGTTGCTCGCGCGACCAAGAACTACCTTGGTGGTGCCATAGAGAGCCGAGGCTCTTTACGTACAGACATAGATCTAGCGTGTATAGAGCATACAACAGGAAGGTCTATATGCGGCCTGTATGTGCTATAGGCACCAAAGTAAGCTTGACCAGTTTCATGCCGATGTATGGAAGGCCTCCGTAGGACGTAAAGAATATACATATATACAAAAAGTTATACTTACTCTTTTGTGCATTACTAAAATAGATAATAGAAAGACAATTATAAAAATACAAAATAGAAAAAGGTAAAATTGAAACTAAAATGAAAATAGAAAGACAATTATCATTATATAAAATTAAAATAAATGGGATAAAAAGTTGAGACAATAAAAAAAATAAGCTAAAACTAATACTTACTTATGATATTAAACCATGATCGGTACGAATAACAAGCTAAAATAGTGAAATAATAAAATATACATATAGTAATGTAAGAAGAAGAGAAAGAAAGATGGGGAATGATTTCTAACGTTGAAAATCATTACTATTTATAGTCATTTTTATTATTCGCAAGAAATAGACAATTGGTAAGCAATCAACATCAAATGAATTTCATTTCTGTTTGTAAAATTTAACATCCTGCTTACTACATAAATTGGTCTTTTGATAGTTTAATTGACTGTTATACAAGCGATCGTAAAGATCACAAGCATTCCTAAAAGTGACAAAAAAACAAATTTTGTTATATTGACTAGACCGCTAATTGATCTTTTATGTTGTCGTGTTACATCGTATACGCATCGACAACATTTATTGACGATCTTTTATCTTTGGCATACCTTTTTCATTAGAAAATAACGAAAATTTTATATTGAATATCTTCCTGTGATGGTAAGAAATTTTGATTATGAAAACAAATAAATCAACATACGAATATCAACGAGTATATTCTTGAATAAGTTTGTTGATTCATTAGAAATATTTTCTTTTATCCGTGAAGTTTTGATTATTCAGTGTCATTTAAGATGTAAGACACTGAACTATATGACATGTACTCTGTCATTCTCATGATATGGATTTGAATCAATTAGTTGATTTTCAGTACTATCATCAAATTTAACTATTTTTGTTTTCCTTTTAGTTATTTTTCATTAGGTTTTATTTTTCGGTAAATCTTCTTCAAATTATTTTACTAAATCTAGACACTGTAAGTACATTACTTTTATCTACCATGGTATGATCAACATCGAAATAAACTTTCTATTTTAGAAGCAATTAAGTATTTTTTCTCCTTACCTGTTTATCAAGAATAGCTTCGCCTCGAAATTCAAGTTCTGCAATTCATCTTTCCGCGAATAATATTCAACAGAACGTTTTCTTCCAGAAGGTATAAACCATTCTTAGCTATCGTTCTTCTTTTCTTATTCTTACTAACTAAAATTAATTTTCAAAAGAAAAAGGAGAATTTTAGAAAAAAAATGAGTTTATCTTTTGCAACATGATATTTGACTACACGTTATTTCGCATAGATTCGTACAATTTCGCCACCACAACATGTATTTGATCACTAAAGATCATTTACCTCTTGGTAAGTTATAAAAAGGAAGTTTATTCTTGGAGATGCAGAGTACGAAATCATTTTTCTCTCAACTCTTTTCATATCAGAAAGATTGTTTATTACAAACTTCCCAAGAGGTAAATAATCTCTACAGATCAAAATACATGTTGAGGTGAAGAAAATGTGCACGTTGATCGCGCATCGACTTGCCAGAGCAATACTTTTATTTATAAATCAAGAAAAATTGTAAGAGATTATGTTGAGTAGAGAAACATTTGCGTGACAAAAAACTCAACTGTTGATATGCACTGATATATGAAGTTAGTAGGCTCAATGTTTCATTCACAAGAAAGAACGATAATGTGAATTTCTCACAACATAGTTTTTTTTATAATCACCAGAAAAATAAATCATGTATCCAGGTGAAAAGATGTCATTTGAGCTTTTCTGATGCTAAATCACGTACCATCGTACAAATAGTTTAAATCAATCAACTTGTTGACAATAATCATTGAAATTTTCACAACGTCGAGCACTGAGTAAACTACATTGAATATCTGCTGAAACAATGTGCGCTACTGGAATTGAAGATTTTGTTGGTCATTCAATAATGATACGGATATATTCAGGTCGTGGATTAAGATAGTCAATGGATTTATTAAACTAAATGATCAAATAAAAAATTTCGTATGTTCCTGTGCATGAATTATTGGATAATGATATTGTAATATTTGAATAATCGATGTTTCATTAGAATAAATTCTCGAAATAGCTGTTTGGAAAGATACGGAATAAGAATTAAAGTCGTGTATCATCTATAATGCCAAATTGAAAGTAAATAGTATGTTGTATATTTAAGTCTTTTAATGTACATTTTTTCCTCCAGCATCTGAACGTTCACTATTCACATTGTAGACAACTATAATCAACTATCTAACATCTGCTTAACATATTAGTATGTCATAGCTACTTCAGCACGTCGATTTTGAATCAAATATGTTGCATGTCGTAGAACTGAATAA